TCTTTTTTGTGACTTGTGTTTTGTAAAATTTTAAGGTAGATGAGCTTCTTAGCCCCATAAGTTGAATGTTTTCCTTAAGATTCGTTATAGAGTGATTGTTTATGTCATGATGTTCTTGTTTGTTATTTTCATAAAAAATGGAATTGTTTAAGCGCAATAAATAACTCTTGATTTAATAAAAATATGTAATGTTCTTTTATGTGAATAGACTAAAATTCTTATGCTTGAGTTGTTCAAGGAGACCTGCAAAATATTTTCATCATTAGACGTTAAAGTTTATTAAAGTGTATCAAATGTTCTTCATGAATAATTTGTGCATGGGAGTTAGAATGAAAGAAAGATTCACTCTTTTATAAACTTTTTTATCTTTTGGAATTATTGTTTGATCTCTTGATGTGAGTGGTGGGTTCAAAGTGATCTAAAAGGCCTTTGAATTCTTGACTCCGGGCCTTATAGAGAGTTGACGATCCTCTATATGTGGTCAAGGATATGAATCAACCCGAGCCTTTGAATTCTTTTCCCCCATTCTATAAAAACCAAAAAAATAAGAAAAATATAAAAAACTAAAATATTGCCACGTAGTTAAAATTGGGCAGGTGAGATTGCGCAGGGTGGGTGTAGGTTTTTTTTTTTTACGCAGGTTATATTGCCACGTAGTTAAAATTGGGCCGTAGATATGTTTAAATGTCATTAAAATTGGACCTTTGATTTTGGATTTTGGCGGGTAAATTAGGCAATGGATTTTGATTCGATTTTTATATATATATAATAGATTTCTACACCTGCTGTACAATCAAACAAATTAAATCGAAAATAAATGGAACGGAGTATGCCACTTAGTTAAAATATTGCCACGTAGTTAAAATGGAACGGAGTATTCCATTTTTTTTTGTTTTGGGTGTCGGAGATATGGAGATAAAATTGGGTGGATGGGGATTTTTTAATAGTGGACGGACTTAGGTACTCCGGATAAATTTAATACAGGAGTATTTAGGTATGGGGCTGGAACGGAGTTAGGTACTCCGTATAGATTTAATTTTAAATTAAATAAAATAGACACGGAGCTCGCTACTCCGTTTGGATAATTAATTCAAGTTGAAACAGAGTTACTAACTCCGTATTGCACTGCAGGGAAAATTTACTTACACTATCAGGAATGCTATATATATTTTTTACATATATCGGTCAATTACTCAATAAACTAAGATAGAAATCAACGTTTTATACTCGATGTTTTTCATTATTAATTTACTATTTTTTATTTATTTATTATTTTTTAAAACTTTAAAATATATTTAGCATATTTAATTAAGACTTTATGAACATATTTTAAAGATTTTAGATGACATGTAGTCATATCATGTACATTATACTCCTACCATTCAAGAACATATTCGATATTTAGTAGAGTATACCATTAAAGAAAAATAAATTTAACATTTATTTTTGTTACCTTAATTTTATGTTTTACACGGTACATACCATTTATTTTTGTTACCTTAATTTTATGTTTTCCACGAATTGTACCAGTAATGTTTATAGAGAAGTTTTTCGAAATATGTAACTCATCTAATTTTTGTATTTTAAAATAATAAAAAATATTTTTCATTATATGTCAATTTGTATTCTTCAATAACACTCCCAAAATCATTTAATAATGTAAATGTGAGTGTGATGCTAGTGTAGTTATAAACTCACGACCACAAGGTTATTGAATGATTTGGTCAAAATTGAATAAAATTTTGGCCAAAAATCCCAAAATATTGACCACAAGGTTAGTCAAGCTCAGTTGGGACCAAAATTGAATAAAATTTGGGCAAAACTATTTACACGGTACTTACCATTTATTTTTGTTACCTTAATTTTATGTTTTCCACGAATTGTACCAGTAATGTTTATAGAGAAGTTTTTCGAAATATGTAACTCATCTAATTTTTGTATTTTAAAATAATAAAAAATATTTTTCATTAT